TCATCATCTCCAACTCACTTGAGCCCATTGGTATATAGTCAACTGTGTCACTTTATCTTGATGAGGGTCTTTCTCTCTTTTGCTGACTTTTGTCTTCCCCAGTATGATGTCTTTCTCCAAGAACTGGCTGGAGGAAGAATGTTGCAGTTGCCCCCAGGCCTGATCACTCCTTGAAGATACCTGATAATGTCTAAAGTGACCAGCCCAGACAATGGATCCTGATAAGGCTCTACACCTAATCACAAAAGCCCAGACCCAAATTAATTAACAGCCCCAAATTCTGAGCAAAATACCATCTTCCCTAGTCCTCTCTACAACACCTATAAAAAGAAACTGCCGTTCTGGGGTCAAGATGGCGGGCCAGTCTGCCGTTGCAGCATCAGGACGGTGGCTGGATGGTATTCGAAAATGGTATTACAATGCTGCAGGATTCAATAAACTCGGATTATTGCGAGATGATACAATCTATGAAGACGAAGATGTAAAAGAAGCCATCAGAAGGCTTCCTGAGAACCTTTATAATGACAGGATGTTTCGCATAAAAAGAGCCCTGGACCTGACCATGAGGCAACAGATCTTGCCTAAAGAACAGTGGACAAAATACGAGGAGGATAAATTCTACCTTCAACCAAATCTGAAAGAGGTTATTCAAGAAAGAAAAGAGAGAGAAGAATGGGCAAAGAAATAATCACCTAATTGAAATCTGTGGATGCAGCTGTCCTCTAAGTATTTTTATGATGTTGATTAAACATGAAATAGATAATTTAAGCACCATTTGGGCTGCCATATGTATTACTTTAAATAAATACCCATTATAATCTTAAAAAAAAAAAAGAAACTACCCTAGACTGCCCTCACCCTTCTGTCCTCCATGCAGACATTTACTTGGCTTCCCTCTTAGACCATGCAATAAAGGCCCGTTCGTTTCTTGAGGTCAGCTTCTTTCATTCTTAAGTCTTTTTTCTAGCTAACAAGACAAAGTAAGATGAAGTTTCACCATCCTTGCTTCCAAGGAGCATCTTGGTTGCACTTCCTCCAAAACCCATCCTGTGGGCAGTCCAAAAGAACTCTTCTCCATCACTACAACCCAAAGCCATCAGTTCTGTTATCTTTATATCCTGTCCAGCTTTCAGATGTATAACAAGCAGTTGAGAAGACATTGGTTTGGATCAGGCACATATTAGTCTTTAAACTGACATCATTGCTCTTTAGCATTCTGGAGAATTTCCTGATGATTCCCCCAACACAACTCATCTCTTGATTTCTTGACTGCTGGTACCAAAGGTGTTGATTGTGGATCCAACTAAGACCAAATCATTAATGACTTCAGTCTTTTCTCTGTCTATTCTATTGACCAGTGATGAAGATTTTTTTCCCCCCTTCTTGATGTTGATATGTAATCCATGTTGAAGGCTGTGGCACATGATCTTCTGTAGCAAGTGCTTCACGTCCTCTTCACTTGCAGTGAGCAAGTTGTGTCATCTGCACAATGCAGGTTACTGATTCTTTCTCCAATATTGGTGGCTTATTCTTCATCATAAGGGTAGTTTCTCAAATGATTTGTCTGCATACAGACTGTTGTTGTTGATAGCCTGAGAATCAAGCATGACTCATAGTGACCTTATGATTAAATGATGACTGTTATAGAAAGGAGGCCTGAAGTCTTTCTATAACTATCGTCATTTATCAAAGTTCATAGAGTTTTCAGAGGCATGTTGTTTAGGAAGTGGATGCCACTCCTGGTTATAGGAATAGAGAAAGGATACAGCCCAACTGAATTTTTTTTTTAAATTTTTTTTTTTTAAGCTGTAAACTTATGCAGCTCCTACACCAATGAAACCAAATTCGTAGGCAGAAAGTGGCTGCAAAGAGTTTAATTTATGCCTTTTTTGACACCACATTCACTAGTTTCCAAAAGTAAATGGGCAACACAAAGGCCTACCAACTGAATTATTGAATAGTATCATTAATATCACATGCAAGCAAAATGTTGCTGAAGATTATTAAAAACTGACTAGAACAGTAGATAGACAGAGAACTACTAAACATTCAAGCTGTACTTAGAAAAGGCCATGACAACAAGAATCATTGCTGATGTCAGATGAATCCCAGCTGAAAGCAGAGAAAACCAGAAAAAGGATGTATATTTCTGTTTTATTGAGGCATTTTACTGTGTGGATCAGAACAAATGGCTAGCATTGAGAAGAATCCCAGAACACTTAACTGTACTCATGTGATCCTATACCTAGACCAAGAGGCTGTTGTCCAACAGAGCAAGGGAACACTGCATAGTATAAAATCAAGAAAGGTTTGCAACTGGCTTCAAAAAATTATTCTGCAAAGTCTCTATGAACCATGACAAAATTATCCAATTTAGTCCTGGAAGATTAGTTCCCTAGTTGTAAAGCATTTAAAATATGAAGTGGCACCAATTATGATGACTAAGTCACAGTGATTAACAATAGAAGGAAAAAACCCTGGAAGTTGTTGAATTGAATAGGGGAATTATTGCTAATGAATACATGCAAGAATTCTTTTTGGGGTAATGACAATGTTCTTAAATTAGATTATTGTAATAGTTACACTGTGACTATATTAAAAACCATTTTACATTTAATTAAACCAGTAAACTTTCTTATTCATTATGTATATTAAATATCAAAAAAACTTTAAGGCACACTTCAGACAAAAAAATGAAACAAAGCATTTATTTAGAGACTCAGTTTCTATTTTTTGTTGTAAATATGACATTTCATTAACATTTTTCTAGTATTTTTTTTTCAGATTTTTCTTGGCCATTGCTTTTCAGTAGTACTTTTTATTTTTTAAGGTAAAATAATAAAGGTTGATTTATTAGAAAATTCCATCCCCAAAGGGACAGACCTCTCCTTAAAAGGAAATGTGGAGTAGAGTCCAATAGTCTTTTTTTTTCCCTTGTTTTTCTTTTCGTCCAATAGTACTTTTAAAAATACTATTTCATTTTCCTGTTGGTGGCATTGGAGTTTTACAGTTTAAGGTCTGTCAGATGTCTGCTGAATTTAAAGGAAATAATGCTAAGGGACATAAGTCAGTCACAAAAGGACAATTATTGTACTTTTCAAACAGAATCACTCTTAGATTAACAGGGGTGGAAAGTGAGGTAGAGTGGAGTAAAAAGTATTAAGTTTGGTGAAGGGAAAGATATAATAAGAGATCAATCATTATAAAATGTGTATGAAAAAGCAGTATGATCTGTAAACGCTCACTCAAAAAAAATTTTTTTAAAAAAAATACCATTTCATTCTTTTGAGTTGATACTCCATTGTACGGACATTCTCTTAATTTCTTAACTATCACCTATAGATAGATGTTTTCATTGCCAAGAGAACCAACAAGTATGTCCTGGAGAGGATGAAACAGGCTCCTTAAAGACATGGATTCTGAAACCTCGTCTCACATACTTTGGACCTGTTGCTAGGAGGGACCCTTGGAGAGGGACATTATGCTTGGGAGGGTGGAGGGTCTGTACAGGAGAGGAAGACCCCTGATGAGATGGATCGACTCAGTGACTCTGGCTATGGGGGCACGTGTGTCAGAGACAGTGAGACTGGCTCAAGATAGGGCTTTTGTAAATAGGGACGCTCTGAGTCGCAGTAGACCGAGAAGGCACATAACAACTACAAACAGTGCTGCCTCCCAAAATTGTTATTGTCATTGTGCTACAGCGTCTTCTTTATCTTCATAGATATGGTTGTTGTTGTTGTTGTTATGTGCCGTTGAGTCGCCTGCGACTCATGGTAATACCTTCTTATCATAGGGGCTCATCTTTCTGTCTGGAAAAGGGAGCATCTCCACATCCTCAGCTTCACAGGGTATCACTGCATTTTCTGATCATTGCTAGAAAAGAGAATTTGATTTGTATTTATTTTTTAATGAGTAAGATGGAGCTTTGATCGTGTTTAAGATTCTTCCCTAAATTGTTCCTCTTGCCCATTTTAATAAGAATTTTAATGTGAAAAAATTTCCTTTGTCGCAAATATTTTAAAAATTTGCACTTTCAGTGTAAATTTTCTTTTTTTTTACCGAGCAGATATTGTATATTTTTTGTAGCCTCTCCTTCTTCTCCCCCCCCCCCCCCCCAGTGGCTTCTGATTTCTAATCTCAATTCTTCCACTTTCTGGATGTTTCACTTGGTTTCAGTCCTGCTCTATCAAACAAGATGACGGCACTGCTTGGTACAGTTTGCGCGAGCTGCAGAAGTAGAAGGGGCGAATAGCTCCCGCCCTGGGCATCCCACGGAGGGCGGGACTGCCTAACGGGCATCCTCGTTCCATTTTCCGTGGGCGCCCACGTTACGGCCCTACCAAGAAAGAGTCCCACTCATTGGCAAGCTTCTTGAGGCCCAAGGTCCTTCAAGCTCCTTAACCAACCAGCAAGCCCTGCGTAGTTCATGATCCCGCCTCTTACGCTTGGAGCAATGGGCGCGCTCTTTCCAGTGCAGGCTCCGCCCCTTCGCTCGTAGCCGCGGACCGCAGGGCTCAGTCGGGGGTCGCTGCGCGTGCCCCGTGCGTCCCTTGTGAGTCGATTTCGCGGCGGTCCGATTGGGGCTTCAGGAGCGACGTGGACAGTGGCTGAGAGGGACGTCCGAATAGTGCGAGCAGCGAGACTGTCTTCTCGGCTTCCGAGAGGCGGCTCCCTAGGGCGGGCTCCTGAGGGCGGCTCCGGGGGCGGCTCCGCGGACCCTTTCCGGGACCGGGTGGTTTCGGCGGTGGGAGCGAGTGGGGCTGCTGTGCTGTGGCTCCGGTCCTACGGGCCCGGGCACCATGCGAGCGCCCTAAAGGCCCCTGTGCTTTGCGGCGCGGGCCCCACCGAGGGGCTTTACAGCCCCGGAAGTGCAGTGACAGCGCTGGGCAAGCCGAGGCGCTCGGTAATCGCGGGACCAGACGGAAGGCGTCTGACCATCTCGGCCCCTTCCGCCCTCCGAAGCGCTCTGGCATCCCTGGCACGCCGAGACCTGTGATGGGCAGTGGACAGAAGGGGGAAAGGTCAGTGGGGCCAGGCCTGGACCTGGCCTTCCGGCTCGCTCCCAGGGGCCCAGGACAGTCGGGGCTCAGGGCGGGGTGACATCCGGGCCCCCTCTCTCCCCTGCAGGTGCCCATGGCGTCGGCGCGTCGCAAGGTCAAGTACCCCTGGAGCGGCACTGCGGAAGGGGGTCCCAGCAAACGCAGCTGCCCCCGGGAGTCCCATGCGGTGGCCCCCTCCGCACGGCCAGCTCTCGGCCTCTCGTCTGAGAGCCCCCAGCGCCTGAAAGCCCGGGAGTCCGATGTGTCTGACTCACTGCGCTTGCCCCGCATCGGAAATTCCTCCTCCTGCGCCCCTTCCTCGTGCCCCGGTGTGGGCGCGCCCCCCAAAGGCAGCCTGGTCGGTAGCACTGGGGGGTTCCTTTCGTTGGCAGGCTCTCTTCTGCGCACCGCCAGCCCCTCTCTAGAAGAAATGGCTTCTCTGGAGGAGGAACCCTTTATCTTGAAGGTGGGTGGCTGTAACACCTTGTGAAGCCATTTCCACGTGCTTCGGAGACTGGGAATTTTGGTGGGAGGGCATTGTGAAAGTTCATGCCTTTGATAGGCGCTCAGAGTCAAACCCAGAAGCCAAGCCCTGGTCAGAGGGTAGCCTGATGGTGCCTTCCTAGGCCATTTTCAGATATGGCAGCACAGGAAGAAAGTCTTTGAACACTTAGGGCTGGGCTCCACCTTGAGAAATTCCTTTAATTGGGCCGAATCTACTTGGCCTGGAGTGTTGTCTGGATGTTCAGATATTAACCCAGGCTGGAAGATTACAGCTGCAAAAGGTCACTTGTATGCTTAGGAGATAACGATGTATTTTGATTGTAAATAAGAAATTGTGTCTTTGTGCTTTGAATGATTTTGAATCTGAGAACCAGTGCTTTCAGAAACATTTAGTTCTTGGTATGACATTTCGCCCAAACTTTGTTTTCCATTGAGGTTTTGCTTAATGGTGGAGAGATCGTTTTGAAAATCAAACATTTAGATGTCAGATGTGTAGTTGCTTTTATGTGGGTTGGGTTTGGGGTTTTTTTCTGTTTATTTTTTAAAAGTATTTGCAGTGAACAATGAGAGAGTCTGCCTCTGCAAAGATCATGACCCTGGAAGCCGTAAGAGGGCAGTTCTTCCCTGCCCCGTAAATTCTGTGAGACAAAATGGACCGAGTAGCAGTGGGCTGCAGAGGGACGGCAAACTGGAAAGATCACTGGTGCTGAATAAGGATAGGCCATGTGCTTGATCTACTGTATATTGGGTTGTTGAAGATCTGATATATTTCAGACATGGATGGCCCATCCTTCTTCCTAGTCTGTTTTAATTTGGTTACTTAGTTTTAGAATAGTATCTGACAAGCATTTTACTGAGCGGGTGAAAGACACTTCTCTTACAGAAATAACCAATACATTTACTGTCTCCCCCCACCCCCCAAACACATGCACTAGCAGTCAGGAAATCTGCTGTCAGGTACTTCTCCAGAGTGCTGAAATGCAGCTGTGTCAGTCCAGAGACTGAGGTGCACCTGATCCAGGCCATTGTCTTCACAGTTACTTGTTGTGCATCAGAAAGCTAGCCAGTGACGAAGGATGATTGGAGAATCAATGCCTTTGAGTTGTGGTGCTGGAGAAGAGTTGAACATACCATGAACCACCAAGAAAGCGAATAGGTCTGTCTTGAAGAGGGTGCAATCAAGTTTTTCCTTGGAGGCTAGGATTTTGAAGCTCCATCACCACATACTTTGGGCATGTGGCCAGGAGGGACTGGTCCTTGGACAAGAACATCAAGCTTGGAAGAGTGAAGGGACAGAGCAGGAGAGGAAGACCTCCAATGAGATGGATTGATAAAGTAATGGGCAATGGTGGTAGGTGTATTGGAGTCGGTGAGACTGGCTTAGGACAGGGCAGGCTTTAGAGCTGCTATACATAGGGTCACTATGGGTCACAGGTTGTTCAGTGGCACATAACAACAACAACATGTGCATGTTACATTATCAGCCCTAAGAGTCCTTGGCAGTATGAATGATTAACATGCTTAACTGTTAAGTAAAAGATTAGTGATTCAAGTCAGTGAAGAAAGCTACCTCAGAAGAAGGTACCTCAGAAGGAGGCCTGGCAATCTAGTTCCCAGGTAGCCACTGAGAACCTGTTAAGGGAGTGCAGTTCAACTCTAAAATGTGTGGTTGTGGAGTTCAAATTGAGTTGATGACAGTGGATTTGGTTTTATTATGTTTTGAAGTTTTCTAACATTTATTTCTTTTTATACTTTTTATTGTGATTTTAGTGAATATTTTCCATTCAAAAGTTTGTATATATTTTCTGATACTTATTACCATCTGTGATCAGGATTCTTCCCACTTCCTCCCTATATTTGTTATTTTTATTTGTTCTTACTATCCTTGGGCAGATGCTGCCTACTCTCTTGATCTTGTAGGATTGCTTGGGAATGCTGGAGGCTTAGTGGTGAGGAATTACGCTGCCACTGCAAAGGCATGTGGTCTGAATCCACCAGCTGCTCTGCGGAAGAAGGAGGAGCAATCTCCTCCTGTGTCATTTATTTCCTGCCTCTGAAAACCTGCTGCAGGGTCAATGGTTCTGACTTTGATGGTACCCAAGAACTGACTATTTTTTCAGTGTGTTCCTCCTTGGAATTAAGCTGATCACCTTATTTCTGTGTTTATTCTTGGGGTGGAAGTTGGGGTGACTCTGGTTCCATACTTGAAGAGTGTCAAGGGCTATAGCCCTGGGGATTCCACCAGTCTCACTGGTCTTTGATTTGATTTGGGTTTTATTCTACATTTCCCCCTTACTCTATCAAGGACTTAGTATTGTGATCCTTTCAGCAACCTTTTTTTTAGGCCCTAAAAAGGTGGTGTTTAAGGTGGTGGCCTAGTAGTAAGGAGCTGCCCTGCCAAGCCAAAGGCCCAGGGTTTGAAAATCCACTGGAGGCTCATCTGTGATCAGCTCTGACTTGATGGCATTGAGTACATGAGAGAGTGAAATACAAATCTGTTCTTCACTTGAGTTGTTAAATTAGTAGCCTGCTGGCTAAACAGGTCCTCATAGTACTTGAGATTTTGAAAAATCACAATACTACTTGAGGACATTTTCCTTCTTTTTCTCCATTTCCTGTTTTCTTCCCTGGCCATTTGCTTCCCTAACAAATGTACTTTGCTTGTCTTGCTTTTGTAAAAAACCAGAAAGATAACTAGTAAAAAGTGTATGGGGATTCAAGGGGGGAAGGGGTGAGAACAGAGGGGCGAGGGTGGGCGGGGAGAAATCATAGGTTCATACAGTTTGATGGGTGGAGGGAGAGGGGTAAAGGAAACGGCAAAGATCTGGCAGGTAGTGATTGGTATGGTTTAATGGTGATTGATTTTATAAAACAATGAGAATAATGACATGAATCACAATGTGAATGAAGGATAGTATGAAACAATGTATACAAACTTTGTATACAAACCAATGTAAAATTTGTGTGTGTGTGTTGTGTGTGTGTGTGTGTGTGTAAAATTTTTTAGAAACCCAAACAAAACTGGAGTACAAGCTCCAGAAAGCAACCATTTCTGTGTGCTGAATCTTCAGCTTTAGCACAGTACTTGCTGGTGCTTGCTAAGTATGTGTTAAGTGAATGAAGATTTATTACATTTTAGAATTTCATGAATTTAAATTTATTTAAATAAAATCAACTTAATAAATTGAGTTTTGATTTGAAAACCAGAATCTATAACTGGTTGATTAGAAGTGAGTAGTAGTTGCCTTTTTGAGTAGTGAGGTGCTTTTCAGTTTGCTGATGACCTTACTATGGATCTAGGGAGGTGGGGATAAGGAAATGAGCAGCTTGGCACACAGGAAAAAGAGTCTGGAGATCCAGGCCATGGTCTTGGCAGTTACTTACTATGCATCAAAAAGCTGGACAGTAACTAGGGATGATAGAAGGAGAATTGATGCCTTTGAGCTGTGGTGCTGGACAAGAGTATTGAATATACCAGACTGCCAGGAGAACAGACAGGTTCATCCTAGAGAGGGTGAAACCAGGCTATTCCTTGGAGTAAGGATTCTGAAGCTCTGTCTGATGTATTTTGGGCTTGTTGCAAGGAGGGACCAGTCCTTGGAGAAGGACATCATGCTTGGGAGGGTGGAGAGACAATGAAAGAGAGGAGGACCATTGATGAGATGGATTGACTCAGTGACTGGGATAATGGGAGAAGGTGTGTCAGATACAATAAGGTTGGCACAGGATAGAGCAAGATTCAGAGCTGTTGTACATAGGGTCACTATGAGTTACAGGCAACTTGATAGCACATAACAGTAACAAGGAGATTACACTTTTTCCATTATTGTGCTCTTTGCTTTTTATTGATGTGTAGGATAAACTTCAGATGTGTTTTCTTTTGAAAAGTTGCATGGTGTTTTATAGTATATATTTATTTACTTCGTCTGACTAATCCCCATTTGATGAATACCCCTTGAAAGAAATTCCACCTTTTAGTAGTTATTGTTAGGTGTGGGCATGTCCGGTATTCTAAGAGACTATCAGCAGTGGATTTGAGCCTTGCCTTAACCTGTGCTGCGCTCATCATCTCTTAATCCTTAAACCCATTGTAAAAGTCATTGCTGAGAGTCTTCCTCTTTTTAGCTGACATTGAGACTTTCCAAGCTGATGTTCTTTTCTAAGGATCGACCATCTTCTTAACAACATGCCCAAAATACGAATATGATGAAAATATAAGCTTCCATCATTCTTGCCTCCAGGGAGCACCCTAGTTGCACTTTCTCTAAACCTATTTATTTGTTCTTTTGGCAGCCCATGGGATATTCAATTCTCTTATCTAACATCACAACTCAAAGGCATAAATTCCTCTGTCATCCTTACATTGCCCAGCTTACAGGTGAATAAGTAATTGGAAAAGACTAATGTGAATTAGATACACCTTAGTCTTTAAACTTTTATCATTGCACCTTGAAAACTGATTTTTCCCAGTGCACCATGTCTTTTGATTTTTGATTACTGGTACCAGTGGTGTTGATTGTGGATTTAAGCAAGATGAAATAGTTGACAACTTCTATCTTCTCTTCATCTATTGTAATGTTACCTGTTGGCCTATTGGTGAGGATTTTTGTTTTCTTGACGGTGAGATGTAATAGATAGTAGAGGAAAGGATTAACAAGTTTGGTGTAAAATACTCTTTTCCCTGAGTATTTACACTTGAAAGAGGAATTTAACACAAATATTGGAAATAGAGATTTTAGGGGTTGCAGAATGTCTTATTATATACTGTCAAGTCAGAACTGAACCCTAGCTGACCCTCCCCTCGCTGACCCTCCCCTCGCTGACCCTCCCCTCACTGACCCTCCATTGGGATTTCAGAGGCATGAGAGGAGATTGCCCATCTTTGTCCCTTGGAGCAGATGGTGAATTTGACCTGTGTGCCTTCTAGTTGACAGCGCAGCTCCTTACCCACTAGTCCACCAGATCTCTGTGCAAAATACACCTCAGGGTAATTGTAAACCTAGGACACAGCTGGACAGTTTCTGGGAGAGAGATTTAGTTAATGTTTTTGCTCCAGGCTAGGATTAGACTAGGCCTCTTGAATTTAATGTTGGATACTGTGGATTTGATTTTCTACTCATAGAGTAGATGTACATTCCTTGGTTTTCTTGGCTGTTACCTTTTTTTGAAATAACATTGTATTTTTTGTTAAAAGTTACAAGGCAATATGGATTCCATTGAATAGTTTCTGCACAAATCATTAATGTTGGTTACATCCTTCACATTGTGTGTTGTCTTCATTCTCTTCCAGCTGTGCAGTTTTCAGTAACCTAGCCTCTACCTTCTCATTTTTGTTTTGGAGTAATTGTTGACTATTTGGTCACATAAACATTTTTTTTAAGGAATATAGTAGTAGTTACAGTTGAAATTCCTTAACAGCCAACCTTAATTAGCTGAAAAGTTCCTTAAGAGGATTGTTTTTGGTTCAGAGTTTCAAAAGTATCTCTGGGCAGTAGTCTCAGGGATTCCTCTGGTATCAACAGGTCCAGCACAAATCTGGGATTTTTTTTAGTTTTAAGTCTTTGAGGTTCTGCCCCCTACTTGTCTCTAGACTATAGGGATTTATCTCTTGGGGCCCTGACCAAAACAGGCAATGATAGTAGCCACATACCAGCTAGTTCTTATAGTGTGGTTCATGTAGACAGTCCTGGAGAGAGTTTCCTCTAGATTTTGGGTTCCATTCTTTTTCATCAGATGATTACAGATTGGTATCTGTGGTGGTGTAGTCTGTAGGGAGTTATACTACTGACTCAACAACCCATGACTCTTAGGGAATAAAGTGGACAATCTCTTCACATGCGATTTACAATCTCCTGAGAACCCACTGGAAGGTCAACCATGGAAATGCTCTGATAAACTGGTTATGAGATTTGTATCTTTTTTTTTTTTTTT